AAAATATAAAAAAAAAAAAAAAAAAAAAAAAAAAAAAAAAAAAAAAAAAGGAAAGAAAAAAGAATGACCAAAAACTCCCGAAATTTAATGAGAAATACTTATCTATACATCCAAGAAGCTCAACAAATGCCAAGTAACATAAACAAATTTATACCTCCACACATTTTAATTAACCGGTCAAAAGCAAAGAGAAACTCTTGAAAGTGGCAAGAGAGAAGCCACTCATCACGTAATCCTCCATAAGATTCACAGTTGATGCCATAAAAGTCAAAAAGCAGTGGTATGATGTATTCAAAATGCTGAAAGAAAAAGATCAGCAAGTAAGAATTTTGTCTCTAGCAAAACTATCCTTCAAAAATGAAGGAGGTATTAATACTTTCCCAAAATATATGTGTATACAAAGATGAAATTTGTTGCTAGGACATTTTCCTTGCACGAAATACTAAAGGGAGTCCTTCAGAATTAAATCGACATAAATGGTAATTCAAGTCCACATGAAGGAGTAACAACACATGTAAAAGTAACTACATAAGTAAACATAAAAGTCTAAATATTTTTTTATTTGTAACTCTTTTCCTATTTAATTTAAAAGACAACTGCATAAGGCAATAATTATAAGTCTTTATGGGCTTATTGTAAGATATTAATATGACAACAGAAGGGAGAGGAAGGAGGGAAAGAATAATGGAGGAATGAAGCCATGTAGTAGCAAGTTTTTGTGTTCTATTGAAATAAAGTTGTTATTAATCCAAACTAGATTATTATAACTTGTTAATTATAATCCCCAGAACAACTGCTAAGAAAATGCTTTTAAAATATATGAATAAAGGACAAGAAAATTAAAATGGCACACTAGAAAATATATACCACACAACAAAGGGCTGCAGTAATTAAGAAATGGAGGAATAAAAAAGACACAGGACATAAAACAAATAGCAAAATGGCAAACGTAAATCCTACCTTATCAGTGTCAACAATCCACTTCAAAGGATTTTCCTTGAAAAAGAAAAAGGTTGGGCGTAGTGGCTCACACCTCAAATCACAGCACTTTGGGAG